CCCCAGCACCGCACCGCCCCCCGCAGCCACCCGGCCCGGCCCCTTCCCCGCCCCGGCACCGCGGCGCTGCAGGAGGGGCGCCCGGCGGGCCCCGGGCGGGAGCTGTTAGGGCTGGGACAGGGGTCTGCAGGGCACAGCCTCCCTGCTCCCCACCCCGCCCGGCAAGAAGCGGTTACACAAACCTCCCCGTGCAGCTGCACACACCTGCACCAAGGGGCTGCTATAGGCTTTGGTTTTAATCTGTGAGTTCCTACAGTCTCCTCTCTGCCTCTCCCTGTTAACTTCCAACGTGTCCCATAGCCGATCCAGAAGTACCACCAGGAGCACCCACAGCAGCAGCCCCGGCTGAGGGAGCTGGCTGCATGGCCAAGGAACGTGGGCCCCGCTTGGTCTGCAAGCTTTGGTAACACTGAGAAGCCAGTTAAGAGCTGGGCATCCAAGGCTTGGAGGTCTCTCACTGCTGACTTAAAGCCAACAAAGTTATCTGCCCCAAGCCAAAACCTGTTGCTCATCAATGTTTAAGGCAGAGTTTTGTTCACTGTGTCTTCCCCTGCTTGCACTTTTGCAGTAGGGTAGAGTTGGCCCTTTGTTTGCTTTTCAGTGCTCAGAATAGGATCTAAGACAAAGGAGCTCCTGTATTCCCATAAGGGAGCAAAAATGCCAATTTTATTTCTTTATTGTTTCTACTACTATCACAAATACAGTAGATGCCGTTTTAAGTCACGTAGAGTGTTGGATGTCTGAGCACCTAAAGGGATCGTTCTGTAATACTTACAGAGGCTTGTTGATGAGGAAACACTCAGCTCACGTTCTTGAAGTCAGCACAGCTGTCACCTGCAGGTGCCACCACAGGACCTCCCTGTCAGGCGCTGGAAATGCAGGTGGGAGAGATCTAAGTCCAGCCAGGCAAGGCCCACACGTGCTATGAAAATACAGCAGATCCAGTACTTCCAACATATGCATGGGGGTCTTATGATGCACATTTCTACATATACTTTATGTATATATTTATTCTGTATCTTGTCTTAATAATCTTCCCCTACTCCCAGCAATCATAGTGGAGCTCTCTAGAAGCATCCATACAGGGATACAAGTGCCAGGTTGGCATCTGAAAGCTTGTCAGTGCTATCTGCTCATTTATTTTTCAATGCATTTCTTTCTAAAACAGTGACTTTTTCAGCCCACCCATGACTCTCAGCTGCAGCCCAGCCCATAAGCCTTGTGTGCTAAACACAATTCTAGCTGGAAACCAGTCTGAATTTGCTGGGGTCTGTGGCAGGGAAATGCTAGCAATGCCTTGCAACCTGGGCACCCAGAGCAGGTGCGTTTGGCCTTGGGTTTGTTCTTTAACTACTTGCATATAGAAGGGAGAAAATACCATGCCCACAGCTTTCTGTTAATCTATGTTCTCTCTCTCTCAACATGGCTATCACTTTTATTTTCACTCTTACTTGTATTTTTTTTCTTCAGCCACAGTTCATTTGAATTCTCCAGGTGAATCCTGGCCCTATTGAGTATAAGTTGTTTTTTTTCACTGACAAGCTGGGATCTCCCTCCTTGAAAATGGTAAGGCTTGGACACTACAGAAGGTTAGCTATTTTAGAACAAGGAACATGCAAGAGAAAAGTCTGCATCTTTCTATTAGCAATAGGTTGAAATTGTCACTCAATTCATCAATGCAATGTTTAGTAGATCCATGAGGAGCAAGGGTGTTTTTTTGATTTTGTTGAAGATGTTTCACCCCTCTGTAGTTGCTGACTGTGGTCTGAAATGAAGAAAGAGGTTCATTACAGCCTGCAAGCTTCAAAGAATTTCAGCAGGCAAAGTTCAGGGAGCCTTCTGGTGAGACTTGTTGAGAAATGCTGGGGCTGGCCCTGGGCATTCAGCAGAGACCCAGTGAAGGCTGCAAGAGAAGGTCATTGAACACGGGCCTTCTCCTCAGGTGGTGAGGGGATAAGGCAAGGCAAAAAAGGATCTCCATGGGAAAATGGGGCACTGCACAGTCCCTTTGGCACAGCATCTTGCTGGCCTGCTCCCTTTTAAAAGAACTGCCAATGTTTGAGGAAGAAGAGGCAGGGAAGAAAACAGCCTAAATTTTGCAAGGCAGGAATCACAACCCCAATAATTTTTGCAGCACCTTGCACAAGGTATTTGGATATTAGGTCTCTTTGCAGCAATCTTGAGCCTTTCCCTAAATGAAAAAAAAAAAAAAAAAAAGGCAGCACACTCTTGTACTATCAAGCTTCCCATGTTTTTCAGCCTTGGAGTTCCTACTGAATAAGGAGAAACTGTTCTCAAGACATTTCTGTTAATAGGGTCAGGTTTTGCAGATGTTTACCACAACAAACTCGAAATTAGTTTTTATTATGGAGACCCGTCCCCATCTCAGACCTAAGAGTAGTACCTTCCAATTTACAGAAGAGTTGTAGGAGAAAGATAGTGGAATATAAAAGGTATAATAACCCAGAAAATACAAATAAAAGCCAGGAAAGGAAAGTATCGGTTAAGCTTTTATTCCTTAATAGAATATTTCCTGAGTGAATTTCCTTAATAGGATATTTCCACCTAGGCTTCTACATAGATATATTGCTAACCTCACTAGATTTAATGCTAACACACAGTTACCAGGTTTATAGCTGCTTTTCCTAAGTATGCTAATCATAAAAGGTAATGTATACAAATCACCTCCATCAGTGAGGGTGCTGTGAGCCCAAGCAGGGAAAGCAGGCTGAACTTCCACCGGCCTTTCATGGAAACAGATACGTAATCCAGAATTAGAAAAGGATCATGGCCAGCAAGGCTCCTCCACCTTTTCACCCTTTAAAAAAGTCTGCCTTGGTAGGATACAGATAATTCCTCTAAACCTGCATCCTAATCCATCAGAAATAAAATATAATTTTGCTACTCAATTTTGTAGTCAATAGTTGAAGATTTCATCTGTGCCGAGAGAGAACTCCTGATTCAAGACTGCTTTACTAAGAGTCACTCTCCTTCCCAGGAAGAGATACTAACCTTTTTTTCCCCCCTCTCAACTCCTGCAATTTCCCTTCTAAAATAATTTTAATAGCTCTGAGAAGGACCTTTGGACTGAGAGAAAAAACCCCCTCAGTGCAAACCAGTTACAATTTGGCTGTGCATTGCTTTAAACAGATTAACAATATTCTGCATCTTCCACACAGCTTAATTTTCTTTTGTCATCAAACTTCCAGTTCCTTGCACTGTGTCTGTGACATGACTGCTGCCCTCATCCCTGGCTACCTCACTGGATTGACCACCACAAAACCCCTTCCCTAGAGCATGGGTTACCTCTAGCCTGCAGATTGCCTGGAAGTCTAAATCAGGTCCAGGTGAAATTCCTCCATTCCTGTTCTGCACAGTGCCAATGTGAATGTCTCTTCTCAGATTTCAGCAGGTTTTCAGAAACATACCCAGTTGGTTATGGAAATACAGGAGATCACTCCATTCTTAATGCACCTGCAAGACAGTAAGACACTGCAGCTCTAGCATAAAAAACCCACAAAAGCCAAACAAATGCCTTCTGCCTTACATCATTGCAATTCCTTGGTACTTCAAACAGCAGGGGTCAGATTATTTGTGCAGACTGACACAGGGTCACTACGGCTATCAAATCTACCAGACCATCTCTAAGGTCTTTTTCCATCTCCCTTACTGTTCAAGTGAAAAAAAAAAATAAAATATAAAAAATCCCTTTTCTCATACTAGAAATGTCTCCCTCTCCAGCCTGAAGTCTCATAGTTAATTTCTAAAGCTTTAGGGAAGAGACAGCATAAGAAGTCAGTGACAGAAAGCTCAGAACTCATCACACATGCATATTGCTTGGATAAAGTTTGGGAACAAAAGTATCAACAAAGTTGTGGTATTTGATGAGGAACTCAAAATTGTTCCTACATTCTCAGAATAGGAGACTAACAAATCTTTCACCCACAAGAACTCAATTAGTAAAAGTTTGTTTACGCTACCATAGGTATATCTTATCCTGTAGAACTGTACTTTAAATAGGCACTCTGTTTTGTGGGTGATCTGTTTGTATCGAGTAATTTATTGCTGATTTAGAAACAGCTATGATTAAATAATACCACCTGCTTAGTTGCCATCATGGCTCTGACTGCTGAACTATTATCTATAAAGCACTGGACCCTCAACACAGCAACCAGCATTCCAGCTACATTTTGACTCTAGAAATGTAAGAAAAGAAACTCCCAACTACCATCAAAAGGAGCAGAGCTGGATGTTGTAGTTAGCTGCCCTTAGTGCAGGCCAAACAGCACACACACCGTCTACTCCATCAGCTAATCAGCCAACACATCCTTTGCAGCAAATACTTTCCATTACTTTCCAGTTTAAAAAAATTCTATCAGTAAAATCTCCTCCACTTCAAACTAGTTTCTCCAATTTGAAGTGTACTTCCCATAAGTTAGTAATTTTTGGCAAGCCTCACCAAGAACAAGATAGTTTGATGTAAATAGAAAAGCTATTTTCCCAAACCTTAGAATGACATTTTTAATACTCACTGCCAAATCCCACCATAAACACACACCTGGTATAAAAAGCTCAAAAGCACAAGGAACCACCTGAAGTTCTGGTCTCAAAATAAGAAATGTCCGCTTTACAAATACAAAAAATGCAGATGTTACAAACAATCCATTTATTGGGTCTTAAACTACGTACACAATTGAAATAATAATTTTGGCACTACGCTATACAGTGGTTACATCTGTGTGCTGACACTCATTAAATACTGCACCAGGAACACTGCTGTGCTTTGAAGTTTGGAATGAATCACACGCTCAACAGGTAGATCACTCGAAATGTATCAGTGCTCCTGTGGGGTTGCATGAAAGCTGAAACACACACCAGTTTATGAATTATTTCAATGTACCTCACATTCTATGAACCTGTCACACCAGAATATGTGATGTCAGCATTTAGAGATGGCCGCAAGTGTTGCATTAAAATCTGAATGACACGTAGTAGTAACGAGATACAAGAAAACCAAAACAAAACCTCTGCCTTTCAGACACAAGGAGATATTCTGTTAAAGAAAATAATTTAAAAAACTAATAATGGCATTTGATTTGATACAAAAGCCAGAACTACTACCGTATTAACATCTAAGTATGAATCTTTACAAATTAATCTCACAATGGTGTTATGTAAAAGGTTGCAAACTGTACAATGTTTTGTCAATGCAATGCCTCTACAATTTATACAGTCTTTTACACATATTAAACATGTTGTTAAATAGCCAATAGATACCAGTCTCTGAACACAGCCGCA